AGCCTTGCCTGCCACTTTATCAGCTCATTTTTTCTGCAGTTTTTGAATTTGCTTCTAGAAGTTTGTGCCAAAGTCTATCCTTTACTTTAAATTGTACCAAAGAAACCATCATCATCATAACTAACCATTACAAAACTGCTAAAACTAATGGGGACACTTTTCCTCTCATTGTATCAGAATAAAATAATTTTCAGAATAAAAAGATTTGATTTCTTCATGTCCAGTAAAAGACTCAAAAATCGCTGATCAAACCTGGAGCTTTGTAGTAAATCATAGCTAAAATGACATTAGACAAGTATTTTCCATTATGCCAGATACCCAAATTATTTATTTTAGATTTAATTTATAAATTTAAAAGATCAGACTCTACCTCATCTATACATATGAATGTAACAGAATACCTATTATTTTAATGTGTTCAATAAGTATTAATGAAAGGACCTGCCTATAATGGAAATATGAAAAATAGAATACCCTGGCCAAGAAATTGGAAAGGTTCATTATACTGAAGGGACTTCTCCCACTCTTTTGAAATTACAAAAGACCTAGGAGTCTTATAAATTTGAGGGAGAGAGGACAAAATTGCATACTTTACACTAAGTATTTTAGACTACACTCTGTGTCTTTGGTGAACATGTCCCTGTGCCATACCCTGACTGAAGACTTCACAGTTACAGGCATCTCCTTAATCAAGCCATTTAAAAGTCTGTGAGTCCTGAGCTTAACATAACAAAAAGAAAAGTCTCTTTGTTTTCATAGAATTTCTTTTTATTTCTAATCTGCAGAAATATATTTTTGAGTAGCCAAGCTACTTGCACATTATAGAAAGACCACTCTGAAGAGTTCTTCATATCACTATGTTGTTGGTCAGAATATGTGCTGTTTGGATGCATTTGGTACGCTGATGGTGGTAAAGTGCCATTTCTCAGGCCACTGTATAAAAGCAGTTTGTGGAGCAGTTTGAGCATCATCACTAGAAGATACAGTCTCAGCTACGGCATAAAGCTACTCTTCGTGCTTAGAGACAGCAGGGCACTGCTGTCTATGCTGAAATGGAAGGTAATTAAAAAGCTGAGGTGACATGTAAGGACAGCCTTTCCTTAGAAAACTTTCCCTCTGCATGCTATTGCTTCTTTGTCTAAGAAACAAGCATAGGGTTCAAGAGATTATGTAGACATAAGATGACCAGTAACGACAGCAAAAGTTCAAAATAACTGGGACTTGTTGAACACCTGCTGGAGCTGCAGATAAAATACATTGATGAGTTTCTTTTGTTTATTCAGAGATTCTGCATTTCACCTTCTCCTCTTACTGCAGCTACTACAACACTTGGTGCAGGAGGGTCAACTGTTGGACAGTAGCAGCACTGTGCTGCTTCTCACAGGATGGTGTTGTAGCCATATGTTCCCTGGAGCCTGTCCAAGGTCTGAATTCCCATTGTCATGAGCAGGACACATATCATTTGTCCCACTCAGGCCTGGCACCTTCTTTGTTGTGCTTCCACCTGGTCATTGAAAGAGGCTCAATAAGATCATCTATGTTAATAGTTACCGATGCTAAAATTTTGGGGAACTTTAATCTTCTCCGATATAAAAGGTCCAAACAACATGTACATTAAAGTCACAATTCCTTTTCCATGGAAACCCTCTCTAATATCTGTTTCCATGGCTGATAAAATCTTCCCTTAAGTATTTGGACTGCAGAAAAAAAAAAAGCCTAACAAAATGCAGGATGACAGTAGAAAGAACCTTTGGGAGATTTAGGAATATCTGATGAAGACCTAGTATCTTCGCTAAGTGTGAAGACTTAGAAAGAGCATCCCTTTGGCAATGAGACTTAAGAGTGTTCCGCATAAAGTGAAAGCAAAAACTCTCTCTGTGGTCTCAAAAGCAGGACTCAAAACATGTGAAATAGCTTGAGCAGCTCAAGAGGTACCCACCCTTGAAAGAGGCATGTTCTCCAAGATGCCTTGTACGCATGCTTTGAGGGAAATCCTTCTAAGTTTTTCATGCGGTTCAGGTATTTCTGGCAACTGTATGTTATGCATTGTGTAAACAATAACTGTTAGATGATTGAACAAAAGCAAATCTCCTTTTAAACAATGAAAGCAATGTTATTTTAGTCTTTATACATGACAAGAACATGATTTGTGGATAGAATACAAATTGTCAAAACATCTTGAACTCCACAAACAATTTAAATAAGGATTCAGCTCAAAGGGGATTGATGTCATTGCTTCAGTATGGAAAGCTGTCAGCTGCTTCTCCATGGGCCTGACCAAAATCACATCAGCTACTTATTGCCAACACTGTGTTTCAGAGGGCTCTGAAGAGACAGATGGCCAGGCAGAAGGTACTTGTTACTTATAACTCTACTGACATGTACCTTTCCTTGGTAGGCAGACTTTTCCAACAGCTGGAATTGGAGCAAACCTTTTGGCTCCTGCATGTGCCATGGGAGCAGAGAGCTTGCAGTACCTTGGCACTGCTTGCCGCAAGGTCTATTACCTGCTGCTGAACTTTCCATTTCCACTTTTACTGCCCTCTCTGTAACACCCCGGTTCTGCTGATTCAAAATAATACCTATTTCAATCAAACTGCATTTACTTTTCTACCACCTCTATTGTGAAGAGGGGATGAATTTGTCTCTGTGTTTGGACTCCACCCTTTTCCTGCATGTCTGTGCAGTCCTTCTGTGCCTCATAGATAGCTCCACAAAATCTCTCTCTTTGTTCTTTCCCTTGAATTTGACAGGCCATTCTTGGAAATGGCATCAAATCTACACTGACTGTCTAAATTTATATGACTCCTTGGTTCCTTCATAACCCTATCCATTCTTTGCTGCATAAGAGTATCAGTCTCATTCGTATATCTCTCTATATATCAACAGCTGTTTTAGTTCCATTCTTGTTCTTTTTTTCCCCCTCTACATCTGCTATAACAGGGCACTGAACTGTGCTATGTTTACGCAAAAAGAACTTGAACCACGTTTTCTGGGCTTCATCCATCAATAATTTGTATTGTTTTCAGAAAAAAAAGACGACTTAGCTATATCTAAACAAAAATATTAGTATTTGATGCATCTCTTTCATCTGGTGTCTCTTCCATGTCAAAGAGTCACTGGGAACAGCGACAGAAGAAATAGGTGAGAAATAATTGATGATTTTTCTTTTCACCTTAAATGCTGATTCATTGAAAACAAAACATTACAAAAATCTGACTCTGGGCAATCTTCTGATAGAACAGATACAAGTTTCAAAACTTCTTTGCCAGTTCTGGGATATGTGGACTGCCTACTACCTGAGATACTAGTTTCTGTCATTCCACAGAAGGAATAATGATGACAGTTCCCAAGACTGTTTCTACACAGAATGTTAACACTAATTTGTTAATTGGTTTCCCAGGCTACTCAGCTTCAACAGCTTAATGAATCATTTGCTTGAAGAGTCAAACACTGGGTTTTGGTGTCTGGCAACTGTTGTGTCCTCAGCTGCTGGGGTGGTCCAGCTGGTGGACAGTCTGCCTGACAGCTCCTCTGCAAAGGGACTGCTGTTGGGTTTACTGCTGAAGTACTTGAAGAGCCTTGACATGTAAAAATTTCACTCATGAGAGTGACTGGATTTAAAGACTGCTTTCTTAGCGGGATGCCAGTCATCACAAAGTGCAAGAAATAACTTCTAAAGAGAGACAAGACAGAAAGGATTTTTCCAAAGCCTTGCAATAATGGTAAGACATCAGATTCCTGTAAAATATAAGATTAGAGAAATGGTTTTGAGATTGTTATTTTGGAAAGACCTATAGCTCTTAAGAAATTGCTAAGAGCACCCCCAGACTGCATGTGTCAATAACCAGGAGCCCGAAGAGCAACCTTGGACACTGGTCTCAGGAATCAGGGAGGTTGCACTGTGCAATTCTCCATTTCCAAGAGGTTTGACCTGAGAGTCTGCCCAGGAGTCTCAGGGCTAGTGGCATAACCAGGTTCTTCTCCAACCCAGCTGTTTTAGAAGTAGGTGCAATTTGGCATTTCAGTCCATCTGTCACATACAGATCAAAGTCAATCCAAATGGATACTATTTTCTGTTACGATGAAAATATTTTCATTACTTGATCATATGCCATCCAACAAGAAGTTTTCCTTTCTACATTAATGTTTCCCTCTGCTCTCAGCATGCAGGTTATAACACTGCTCATTACGGTTTGTAGTATTTCTTTTTAATGGCATCACAGAGGTTATGATGAGGTCTTTCTTCTCAATTTTTGCACATGCATTAAAAAATATTAAAATTCCTTTCAGCTTTTTCCTAGAAGTGTCCTTGGTTTGCTTATAGCTGGTTATTTTGGGTGGCATAAGGCTATTTAGGAGAGTCTTATGTTGCCCACTCAGTCCCTTTTAATACGTAATACTTAAATTATAGCACATATAAGACAGTGGAAAGACAACTCTAATTTATTCTCATTCTCAGCTAAAAGCCAGCATGTAAACTCTGCTTTTTCTATAACAAAAGGCATGGGCTAACATAAATGTCACTTAATTATATATTTTATACGCCTTGTGAGGCAAAACCAAGATCCATGCCTGGTGTAAACTGCCAGGCAATTATACGGAGTTGCCTTAAACTGTTGGTCTTCTATTGAGACCTCGAAAAAACCAGCCTGAGGGGAAGAAAAGTTTTGTAATAAAGTTGTTGCTCTGCTGATCTGCCCAGTGATCTGACCCTGCCAGGGATCACTTCACTTACCCCACATCTGTGTGTGGGTTTTCGTACTCGGCACTGGGGAGGCCGCACCTTGAATACTGTATGTGTCTGGCTTGGGGGGACCGTGCTCGATTACCTTAATGGTTTCACGGGCAAAAGGCATCCCAGTGCTGGCACTGGTACGCTGTTGGGACGGGCACCCAGGCCCCTCTGGATGCGTATGCATGAGAAGAGGGGGCTTCTCCGGCACCTCGAGGCAGGCAGGGCGGGGTAAATGCTCTCCATAACCCGGCAGTAGCCCGGGATGGCGGGGGAGCACCTGCGGGTCGCCGGGATGGGCGGGGGGCGTCCCGACTGAGGGGAACGACTCGCACTTCTTACGGGGGGAGCAACCGCGGCAGGGTGAGGGAGGAGGAAAAAAGAAAGCCGAGGAGAGGGGCTGAGGAGAAGCGGGAGGGAAGGGAGCCGGT